GGGGGGGGGTCCTCTACCACTTTTCGATTTGAGACCTCCTTCCGTCATATTTGGCCCAAATTCAATATTTTTTCCATTATTTGCTCCCCCGAAAGTACCTTAGAAATTGACACTCAGGAAAAAATTCTACCGTCAGTCGTCATCAACATAGATAACAAACAAATATACCGAGTTTGGGTGAGATCGGGGATTTACACTTGCATTAGTCCCCTTCTGAGCGTAGGCGTAGAGTGGGTGCGCCCCGGCGGGAGGGCTCACACGACTCACCATGGGCGGCGGCCGAGACGACGATCAGCACGGCGACGAGCAGGCCGAGGGCCGATAACTGTGTGGTTATCGCCATGGTGCTCCGAGATGCCGTCGCGCGGACGATGCTCTCTCGCTTTGCCAGTTTGCTGCGGTGTCGTTCGGGTGTCGGACGACAGATCACTGATCACTGCACGCCCGCCTTTCGGTCAGTCTACCGCCTATAAGAGCTATGACGACTCATCGGACAGATTTGGCCACAACTGCCAATGAGCGCTTGAGCGGGCCGTCGACGGGGTGCACTTGAGGGCAGCGATACGGGACATTGCGATCACCTTTCAGTCAGTGGGTGCAGAGGTGCAAGTTCAACAACACACTCTCAAACCCGTCGAGAGTCGAGGAGACAGGGAAAAGGAAATCGCCACAAAAAAAATCGTTCATTGACGCGTTTGGCAGTCTTTTTATTTGACATATATGGCGACATTTGGTCTCGTCACACTCACACTGCTATGCGAAGCCCACGCCAGCAACTGCCGCAATCATTGCTTTAATCAAGTGCAGATAATTGAACGACAATCCTGAGTGGAGCCAAGTCTTCACACAAATCGAGCCTACTACTGTAATACGTAGATAAAGAACGAGCCTTGCGATGCGTGCCTAGACCATGGCACGAACTAGTAATAGTAATACTAAGAAAATTAACATATGAACTTAATTTCTAAACTCTGAAGTAGAATAGAAAGTTAAAGCTAAGATCACAGCCACAATCTATTTCACAAAAAAAATATAATCTTACATAAGTAGGGCCTCGCTTGTAATTGGCATACGTACGTCAGATTTCTACAGATAACAACCATCGAGAATGGGCTCCCGCTTTGCAGAACGCTGTGACAGTTGTGCTTATTGTAGTCCTACGGCCCGAACCAGACTAGGGCTTGACGGCGCTCGCACAAAAGTAAAGTAACGACAGCAAAACAAGCCTCCAAGGATACGTCGGTTTACCGTTTGTCCAATATAAACAGAAACTTCCTCCTGGAAGCGCTATAGTGTCACGCACGTTATGCACAATATTTGTTCGGCCGCAGCGGCGTGTGGTGCGCCGAGACTCGCGAACGAAGACGCATTCGCTTGAGTTCTCTGTTGACGCCACGCGCCACGCGCCACGCGCACACTTTTATCACAGACGAGGGCGGTCGGGCGCTGGCCGCCGCCGAGGGAGATCGCGTTGCATCAGGAACAGCAGAGCTTTTAGTGCAGCTCGGCGTCGGCGGGCCTCTGGCCGGAGGTCCGCCTGACCAGCCCGTGCGCGAGCAGCGCGAGGCTGGCGGCAGCCAGCAGCGGCAGCCCGTAGCGCGCCGCCCGCTCCACGGTCCTCACGGTGTAGGTGGCATGCCAGGTGGCCGTCCTCACGTCCTCGGGGAAGTCCGTCATCACCTGTCGGAGAGGACAGACGAGACGAACACGATGAGGCGGTTGGTCTCAAACGGGCGGGTCCGGGGGCCCGGAACGCGTCCGAACGCGCAGGTTTCGGACGCGCGTTGAGGTGGCTAGCTCCGTCAGCTGAGCGCCTGGCTGGGTGGGCAGCCATTCTCACGCGGCCGCTAGTGGCGGCCGGCGCTGCCTACTACTCAGGCGCCCGCCGGCGCCCGCCCGCGCCCGCTCGCTCGCTGATACGGGAGGGTAGGGTGTTACACTTACCGTTTCGAACCACAGCACGGGCAGAATGGTGTTGTCCTGGAAGGGCTGCAGGTAAGAGGACAGCAGCTCGGCCTTGCGCACCATCACGTTGACCTGCATGCGCATCGCCGTGCCCAGGTTCACGCCCAGCTCCGGGTGGACGTCAAAGAACATTTCGTGCAGCTCCTTGACGGGCTCCTCCATGCCGTCGACGGCGGCCCTGAGACGGGCGTCCCCGAGGTAGAAGCGAGGCAGCGAGATGAAGGACGGCGAGTCTGCAGACAACAACGTACAGAGTCACAACAACTCACCGTCGAAAAGTGAAAAGGGCGTAAGTCCGCGAACTTTGCGTTGCGCCTCGCGACGATTCGACCTACCCATAAAGCAGGGCCCGTTGAGCAGCACGCCCGACGGCACGCCCGAGTAGGAGGCCGTGGAGTAGCACGCGTTGTCCGGGTTGTCGGCGGCGTTGTCCAGGAAGTTGTCCGGCGGCCCGTAGCGCAGGGCCGGGACGCCGTCCATGACCGTCACCTCCTTCTTGAACTCGAGCGGGATGCGGCGGCAGATGTCGGCGTTGACGATGTAGAGGGGCGCGCGCCGGCGCGCCGCCTCCGCCGGGAAGAAGGTCCCCGCCGAGCCCTCGATGCTGTTGCACTCCTGGTCCCGCCACGCGCCCAGGTCGGCCTTGCCGTTGAGGCGCGCCACGCGGTCCTGCAGGTTGAAGTCCCTCCGGCCCGTCTCCACCGTGTACACGTTGCTGCTCAGCCCCGTGCGCGGCGCCAGCATGCCCAGCTTGGGCAGCGTGCCGCCCGTGGCCACCTCGACCGCCGACTTGGCCAGGCTGTACAGCGTGTCGTTGTAGCCGAACAGGTAGTCACGCACGACCAGCGTGTTGAAAGCGGCGCCCCCGCTGGCCCACAGCGCGCTCTTCAGGCCCAGCTGGGCTACGTACGGCTCGTCGCGGACACGGGCGATGGCGCACTGCGGAAGGAAACAATGGTTCCTTATATCACAGACAGGGAAACATCGCCACGGTGACTCTTTCAAAGAGTTTGACACATACGATGAGGGGAAGGTTAGGCACCACGATGACGTCGTCCTCTGACCCCTTGGACAGCTCGGGCAGGAACGTGAAGGTGCGCTTCTCCCTGAAAGACATGGTGTCGTTGTCGTTGAAGCGCACGTCGACGTGCTCGAGCGCCTCGCTGCGGACAGAGACGGAAGGAACCATGAGAATATGGGACCAGTTGTCCGGTCATACTCCCCACTCTAAAAATAAGGCAAAACAATAATTATGACCCGAGTCCCGAGACGGGTTACGTAAGATTTCCTGGGAAAAATTTTCCTCGCTACATTGTTTTGATTGGTGCAAACGAGCGACTGCAGACAAACTCACGCGTAGGAGTACGGGCCCAGCTCCTGGACGCGCAGGCGGCTGGCGCGACCCGCCATGAAGTCCTCCACGTTGGTGTAGTTGTACAGGTACAGCTTGGTGGTGGGGCCGAACGGCGGTGACAGCCAGCTCTTCATGAACTCGCTACCCTCGACGTACTGCATCTGCTGCAAAGTTTCACAACTCGGGTTTGTGTTGTGTCGGAAATGTATGTGCGAGTGAAGTCCAGATAAGCAAGAAGAATAGCGGGGAGAACATCAGGGTTCCGGATTTGTTAATTTTTCCCCGAGTAGTACCGGCGTGAAGCACCGGAGGAGTGAAGCTCTCAACCGAGGGGAGGGGCTAACAACTGATAAGAGTACGCGCGATAGCGCGTAATGTAATACCAAAAAGAACGAAAAGGGGAAAAACACGCTCGAAAGGGGTAGAGTTTTGCGTGTAATAAATTGCGTGATAGGGAGTAGTCTGCACACCAAAATTTTGAGTTGTTACCCCTCCCTCGCTCTCGACCAATCGTCAAACGTTTATGATCTACCCGCCATTCTTCCTTCGAGTAGCGAAGTGTCATGCGCATGCGCGCCTTACCGAGTGAATCATGTTCTCATAAACGTCGGTGAACCACATTAGGTAACTTCCCGTGACGGCAAAGGCCAACAGAATGCTAGGGAGCACCGCTGAAAGAACAAAACACAGCAGTTTGCACCGCATGAGCGCGTGTCGGCGACATAACCTCTCCGTCGTCACCGCCAGTAATATCACTCACCCAGCACGACGCAGCGCGTCGGTAGCGGCGAACGGCCGCGCGAGTAGAAGAAGGGGTAGACGCTGGCGGCGGAAGCGGCGTGGCTGTCGGCGCTGCCGGCGATCTTGTAGCGCAGCTCGGGCCACGCCGCCTTCTGCTTGACCACCGTCATGACGGCGGAGGAGAAGAGCTGCTCGCTTGTTGCTGCAGCGGGTCGGCTGACCTACGGCAAGGGAGCGCTGCGCGCGCGGCGCCGCCAGTCAGTTGACTATTTATAGCGAACAACACACGACACTGCCGTACTGCCGTCCACGCGAGGCGACGCCAGTGGTGCTGCTGCCGCCGCGAGCTGTAACACGCCCGCACTCGCAACGCACCGGCACGGACTGCTCAGGGCACCAGAGCCCGGACCGAAAGTAGGAAGAGCAAAACCCAAACTAGAAGTTCACCAGGCACCCGCACCCCTCCCCGCCCGTCCTCCACCTGTCCCCGGCCCGTCCCCACTCCGCCCGCCAAGTGGGCTGTCGCCTCTCGAGCTTCCAGTTTTGTTCTGTACCTTCCGATTCAGGCTATAAAGCAGGGATCACGGATATCGACGGCACAAAGTGCGAGAGAGACAGACTTATGGGCGAGCCACAAGAGTGAGAGAGCGCGAATGTCAACAAAGTGTCTCGCGAGCCAAGTAGCTGCGACACCTGCTCCAGCGTCACCACACCAGCCTTGTTTGCGGGTACGATATGTTTGTCTTTGCGTGTGTGCCTTTGGTCTTTCTCTCTGGAGTCCCGACCTCCTCGGGTCACCTATGGTAATGACCCCGCCACTGTCTGGGCCCTTGCCATGAGAATGGGCGCCGTCCCACGCCGCACGCATTGCGTCCGCCCCCCCCCC